GGGAGACAAGATTAAGGACCCCAATGGAAATAAGTTAGACAGTCTTCGATGACACTTGACTTTTTTGGGTTATCCTGGGTGGCAAATCCTCTGGGGTTAATTGTTTCTTGGTATTCTCAATAAGCCACACCAACAACGGTGCTACACAGCAGCAGTCAGCAGTGACAGTGCTACAGCAGCAGCAGACGATGCTACAGCAGCAGCAGACGGTACTACAGCAGCAGCTGATGGTGGTACAGCAGCAGCAGCAGCTGACAGTGCTACAGCAGCAGCAGCAGCTGAGTGCTACAGCAGCAGCAGATGATGCTACAGCAGCAGCAGATGATGCTACAGCAGCAGCAGACGGTACTACAGCAGCAGCAGCAGCAGCTGACGGTGGTACAGCAGCAGCAGCAGCTGACAGTGCTACAGCAGCAGCAGCAGCTGACAGTGCTACAGCAGCAGCAGACGATGCTACAGCAGCAGCAGACGGTACTACAGCAGCAGCAGCAGCTGACGGTGGTACAGCAGCAGCAGCAGCTGACAGTGCTACAGCAGCAGCAGCTGACAGTGCTACAGCAGCAGCAGACGATGCTACAGCAGCAGCAGCTGACGGTGGTACAACAGCAGCAGCAGCTGACTGTGCTACAGCAGCAGCAGCAGCTGACTGTGCTACAGCAGCAGCAGCAGCTGACAGTGCAGCAGCAGCAGCAGCTGTACCACCAATAGTAGCGATGGTTGATTGGGGTTTATTATACAACCTGGCCAGCTCAGAGATGCGCACTCCACTTTCATACTTATCAATGATCTTTTTCTTCATCTCTATAGTAATTCTCACCCTTATTGCTGTAGGGTTGGCACTAGAAGCTTTCTTGGGGCCCATGGTCACTTATTTTGCAGATAAAATCACCAAAAACACTGTAATAATACGAAATGTTCCGATTGTATGCTTGGATGTTACCGCGGAGGCTGGCTGGTAAACAATGCCACCGGCGGAACATGTGAGCGTGGCTCAGGCCGCACATAGACGCTTCTCGGACGAACAGCGTTGAGCGGGTTTTTTAGCGGTATGCGAGGCACAATCTTAGCGATAAAATGTAGCGGTATGCGGATTTAACATTATGTAAGGCCAACGGTATGCGGGGGGTCCACTGTACCAACCACTCCAACACTATATCCCCCCCTGCTTTTAACATTTCTGTCATGATCCCATCAGTTCCAGCTGCTTTACCCCCTTTCATTTTACGTAATGCCTCACGTACCTCCCCCACACTTACATTCTGCTCTTCTTCACTACTAAAAGATGGTATACCTCCCTGACCAGTGCATGAAATTACTGCCTCTGTTTCTTCCTTAACATTTAAAAGTTCCTCAAAATATTCTCGCCATCTACCTAATACCTCCATCTCCCCATCTACTAACTCCCCTACTCTGTTTTTAACTGACAAATCCATACTTTCCCTAGGCTTTCTTAACTTGAAGAACAAATTAACATGTCTTGCATAATTCACACAATTCTTTACTAATCTGTCTGCCTACCTGCTAGCTTTGGCCTGTCTTGCCTGCCTTTTCTACTATACTCTACATGCCCTGGCCTGCCCTGCTTGCCATATCTGGTCTACTTGTCCTTCACTGCATCTGCCCTCCCTGCCTCTGCCTTACCCTATCTTACCACTTTGCCTGAGCATAAGCTGTTGGGTGCCAATGCCTCTGGAGATATCAAGCTGAAGCCTATGTTCATTTACCACTCTGAAAACCCCAGGTTGTTCAAAACAACAAAGTATCCAAAGGGAGGTTAGGTGTGTTCTGGCATTTTGGAATTACCATAAAACTATGGTTTTTATGGTAATTTTTGAAATGGGGTCTGAGTCAAGATAGTTTTGAGGTACAGTGTGTCTTCTGAAATGAAATATTACTACCTTGAGGGGTCACTGTATATTAGTACTTGTATTTAGTGCAGCAGGCATGTGTGAGTGTGTTTGGTAGAAGTAAATGGAGACAAATAGAATTTGGGACCTGATGAGCTGTTGGAGTGCGAGCAGGGTAATATTTTGTGAAGGGATTAAAGGAAACCAGTTGGCCAGCCTTGAATCCTGGAGGTGGGAAGTAAAATGCCTGCACTTTAAAGGATGGGTTTGAGATATTGATTGTTTGGAGTGACATCTAGACTCTCGTATCTGGACACCTCTGCAAAGACAGTATTGTGTGTGAATGATGGTGATAGTGTTTCTTTCCTTTTTGGGTCACCCTTCCTTGGTGAGAGATGGTTGGCGTGTTAGAAAAAAAAATGTATCAAATGAAATTTTAAGATAATCACTAATTTCTTTTTTTAACACACCAGCTGCCTCCCACCAAGTAAGGGTGACCTAAAAAAGAAACACTCACCATCATTCACACATATCTCAAACCCATCCTTTAAAGTGCAGGCATTTTACTTCCCACCTCCAGGATTCAAGGCTGGCCAACTGGTTTCCTTTAATCCCTTCACAAAATATTACCCTGCTCACACTCCAACAGTTTGTCAGGTCCCAAAAACCATTCATCTCCATTTACTCCTATCAAACACACTCACACATGCCTGTTGCACTAAAGACAAGCACTAATATACAGTGGTCCCTCAAGGTAATATTAATCCATTCCAGAAGACACACTGCACCTCAAAACTATCTTGACTCAAACCCCAAAATATATGGTTTTATGGTAATTCCAAAATGCCAGAACACACCCAGCCTCCCCTTGGATACTTTGTTGTTTTAAACAACCTGGGGTTTTCAGTGGTAAATGAACATAGGCTTCAGCTCGATATCTCGAGAGGCACTGGCACCCAACAGCTTGTGCCCAGGCATAGGGTAATGCAGAGGCAGGGAGGGCAGATGCAGGGAAGGACAGGTAGACCAGATATGGCAATCAGGACAGGCCAGGGCATGTAGAGCATAACAGAAAAGGCAGGCAAGACAGGCCAGAGCTAGCAGGCAGGCAGGCAGACAAAGATTAGTAAAGAATTGTGGACTTAACATTTACACACTTGTCATAGTCTCCCGCTACTCGCATCTGGTACAGTGGTACCCAGAGTTTCGAACTTTCTTTGTTCCAGAAGGCTGTTCAGGTGCTGATACCGAACAAATATGTTCCCATAATGAATAATGTAAATTAGATTAATCTGTTTCAGACCCCCCAAAAATACACTTACAATAATACACTTACATAATTGGTAGAGTAGGGAGCAGTTCGAAACTCGGGGTACCACTGTACATGTATTAGTCTTCCTCCCATTCACCAACACACCTTCCACCATCTCTCCACTTAAAGCAAGCAGGCATGCAGGATGGGGCATGTAGAGCAGGCAGGCAGGCAGGGAGTGATAAAGAATTGAAGACTTAAAATTTACACTTTTTGTCACAGTCTCCTGTCACCCATGTCTGGTACACGTACAGTCCACCTCCTCTGCCTGCCTGCCTCCCTCCCACTCGCCTCCAACATCTTCACTCCATTTAAGACCTTTTCATCACCCTATCTTATCTCTGGGCTGTAGCCCACCCACCAACCATCATATGCATATTGTGACTCAAATTTATCTGCAGGTAAATCATAGCTCAAGACCACTGTAACTCAAGGGACCAATATAGTAATGTAGAGAGTGATTATTATTATATCTGGGAAAAGCACTAAACTTTACAGGGGTCATAGAGCACCTAGATTATTATTATAATCAAAAAGAAGCGCTAAGCCACAAGGGCTATACAGCATAGAGCACCTAGAGAAAGAGGAAATAAGATTTGATCCAAAGGGAAGAACTGGTCTAATTCTTTGGATCAAAAGTCCTCTCACCATCAAGGAGCCTTGAGGGGATAATCAGTAATGTTAAGGGCACGTGAAATATCACAGAGCAGAGAGAGGTAGAGACTCCTCTGTCTACTAATCACATTCTGATATCTAGTCAGGCCTAAACTCAGTTGGAATGTATATTTACTAAGAAAAATTATACATTCTTTTAATACTTCAGTAAAAAATTTAAACTTAGGCAACAGTAATGAATTACAGTATTAATTTATTATATTTAGGGAGGAACATGCACACAGGTCATACAGCACCTCAGAAATGGGAAATGGAGGATAATTCCAGTTCCCTAAAATACCCCTCACCAGCATCAAGCCTTCCTTAGAGAAATAGATGAATTAATTTTGGTTAAACTTTTGAAATATGAGATTTGGATGTGCAAAGTACTTTATTACATTCATAAGGGATGAAAAGGAATGCCAAACCCAAAGGTCATGCAACACCTAGTAAAATGGCAGGTAATCAGGCTCAAACCAAGTAAGCAACAGTCATCCAATTCCATGGATCAAAAACTCCAAGGAACATTCATTGATGGACATGCACAGTGCCTGCACTCTAGATGAGGTGTGAGGATGTTGCAGTTCAGAGGGTCATTTGCATTGTGATATCTGTACATATCTGGCAAGATAGTTATTGACTGTATAATAATACATTTCCTTCTTTTGATCACTCCACCTTGGTGAAAAATGGACATCAAAAAAAATATGAAGTCCCCCCCCCCCTTTTTTTTTTTACTCTACAGTATATTATATACAGTACCTAAAAACCAATCAAGTAAAAGCAATAAACTCAATTTTAAACATTAAAGCTCACATTTTATTTTAATTGGTAAGTGCTAAACTTGTACATGTCATTTAGCACCTACAGGATAGGAGACATTAAAGTTCAATTCAAGAAAGGAATGATTTGTCCAGTTCCTTGGATCAAAAGCCCCCTTACCAGCATCACAAGGATCTCTAAACCTGTAGAGATCATAATTTAGTATTAAAATCAGAACTTCCGGGTTTCAACACAACCCAACTTTTGTCTTGGCACACTCTTAAATTATTACTGTACAAAATGGTGGTCCTCTGCTAATACTAGTTCAACAGCTACAACCATGAGTTACTGAAGTGTAGAATTCTTTTTTTTTTTAAGGGGGGGGGGGAAAGCAGGCCTAAATTAGGTAATCAATACATGAGGAATAATGATGAATATTTAATTATTAATATGCTTATAGAGATGTTGCTTAAGTTTAGGCATGTTTTGAGGAGAGTATATGCACTTATGGCACTTCAGAGGTTGATCCAACAGTTTTTCTCCTGCTATAGGTGTCATTGTTACTACCATCCCACGCTCCTCCAAACATCGAATAACATCTGAAAAGTAAAGACAGTTTTAAATACCAAAGATAAGATTTAATTTGGAGTTAAAAATAATGATAATTTTTAAATCAAAATTAAATTTATTCACAGAACATTATTACAGATCTTTTTTTTTTTAAATATGAGAGTACACATGTACACTCATGTATCATGTATACATATGGCATTTCAGGCAATTTAGACAAACTAATTTATAATAAAAAGATACACAGTTTAAAAGCTAGTAAGATTATTAACTACAAATAGGAAGGTAAGCCGTTGTGGAATTTTGGTCCTTATATCTGAATTGATGAGGCAAGATAAGGACTAAAGCTAGGACTAATACTATATTATGAAATAAACTGGCCATTATATAAAAAGCATATAATGACCAAGGTAACATTTATGAAGAGATTCAGGAAAACCAGTTAGCTGGACTAAAGTCCTGGAGCTGGAAATGAGAAGTACAGTGCTTGCACGCTGAAGGAGGGGGGTGGGGATTTTGCAGTTCAGAGTGTTATTTGAGGTGTGTCAGAACTCTTTTGGTAAGACAGTGAATGAATGATAGTGAAAGTGTTACTTCTTTTTCTAGTCGCCCTACTTCGGTCAGAGATGGACATTAATAAAAAAAAAAACATTACATACTGAGAAGATGGAGTGAATATTTTGAGGAGCTGTTAAATGTTGAAGAAAGGGATGCATTGGCCAGGGAGAGAGGAAGAGCCAGATGTGAGTGGAGGAGGTGTGTGAGGCTGCTGTGGGTAAAATGAAAAGAATAAAGCAGGTGGGAATGATTGGGATCACGACAAAATTGTTAAAAGCAGGTGGGGATATAGTTTTGGAGTGGCTGGTCCTTTTGTTCAATAAATATATGAAAGGGAAGGTACCTAGGGATTAGCAGGGAGTATGCATAGTTAAAAAAAAAAAAAAAAAAAAAAAAGTTAAAAATTATAAGAGAATAAGCCAGTTGAGTATATGCAGGCAAAGTGTATGGGAGAGTTGTTATTGAAAGAATTAAGAGTTAAGATGGAAAGCAGGACTGCAAATGAACAAATAGGTTTTAGGAAGGATAGGGGATATGTAGATCAAGTGTTTACACTGAATCATACAAGTGAAAAATATTTAGATAAGGATAAGGAAGCTTTTTTGCATTTATGTATTCTGAAAAGGCATAGGATAGGGTAGATAGGGAAGCAATGTGGCAGATGATGCAAGTGTATGGAATAGGTGGTAGATTACTAAAAGTTGTTAAGAGTTTTTAGGAGGATAGTGAGACTCAGATTACAGCATCCAGATGAAGGAGAGTATTTTCCAGTAAAAGCAGGCCTGAGACAGGGATATGTGATGTTGCCATGGTTGTTTAACACATTTATAGATGGGGTTGTAAAAGAAGTGAATGCTAGGGTATTGGGGAGAAGTGTGTGATCAAAATATATAGAATCTGATTACTGATTTCTGATTACAGTGCTTTTGGGAGATTCTGAACAGAAGTTGCAAAGGTTGGTGGATGAATTTAGAAGGGTATGTAAAAGAAGGAAATTAAAAGTGAATATAGAAAAGAGCAAGGTGGTGAGGATAACCAAAAAATTTAGGAATGAAAGACTGGCAATCAGACTGGAAGGAGGGAGTATGGAGAAACCGAATGTGCTTAGATATTTGGGAGTGAACTTGTCGGCAGATGAGTATATGAAAGACGAGGAGAACCATAAAATTGATGGGGAAAAGATGGGCAGTGCATTGAAGCATATGTAGAGGCAAAGAATATTATCCATGGAAGCAAAAAGGGAATTGTATGAGAGTATAGTGGTACCACACTCTTATATGGGTGTGAAGCATGGTTGTGAAATTGCAGCAAGGAGGCTGAAGGCAGTAGAGATGTCATGTCTGAGGGCAGTGTGTGGTATGAATATTATGAAAATTTGTAGCTTGGAGGTAAGGAGGAGGTGCAGGGTTACTAAAAGTGTTATCCAGAGGGCTGAAGGGAAATTACTGAGGCAATTCAGATATTTAGAGAGGATGGAGCAAAATGAGATGACCTGGATAGCATATAAATCTTCAGTGGAGGGAAGGCAGGATATTGGTCATCCTAGAAAAGGTTGGAGGGAGGAGGTAAAGGAGATATTGTATGCAAGGGGCTTGGACATTCAGCAAGTGTGTGAGCATGTTAGACAGGAGTGAAAAGAGGTAAGTGGTTTTTATGATTTTAAGTCCGAGCAAGGTAACATTTATGAAGGGATTCAGGAAAATGGTTAGCCAGACTTTAGTCCTGGAGATGGGAAGTACAGTGTCTGCACTATGGAGGGGTAGGGATATCTGCAGTTTTAAACTGTAGTATTAGTGCACCTCTGGCAAAACAGAGATGGTGAAAGCATTTCTTCTTTTTCAGGTCACCCTACCTCGGTGGAAAATGGCCAGTGTGCTAAAAAAATAAAAAATACAATATAATAATAATATACTCCACCCCCTGCCAGTTTGTTTTAGACCAAAAAAAGTACAAATGATGCAATTATAAAAATGCTTGAAATTCTTTATGCAGCTCTTGAAAATAATGAATACTCTGGGCCACATCATAGACCTGCAGAAAGTTTTCAATACAGTGGACAACAACATCCTGTACTTTAAACCAGACACCAGAACACCTCTATCAATGGCATATCCTTGTCAACTCGACCAGTTGACACAGGAGTGCATCAGGGCAGTGTTCTTGGCCCTTTGTTCCTTCTTGTATACTATATCAATAATCTCTCCAATGCATTTTGTCTCAATAATAATAATAATACCTAGGTAGTAGGTTGGTAGACAGCAACCTCCCAGGGGGGCACTACCATCCTGCCAAGTGAGTGTAAAACGGAAGCCTGTAATTGTTTTACACAATGGTAGGATTGCTGGTGTCTTTTTGTTCTGTCTCATACACATGCAAGATTTCAGGTACATCTTGCTACTTCTACTTACACTTATGTCACACTACACGTACGTTTTCTTTTTTTCAACAAACCGGCTGCATCCCACCAAGGCAGGGTGGCCCCAAAAAAAAAAAAAGAAAGTTTCTCTTTTTAAATTTAGTAATTTATACAGGAGAAGGGGTTACTAGGCCCTTGCTCCCGGCATTTTAGTCGCCTCTTACAACACGCATAGCTTACGGAGGAAGAATTCTGTTCCACTTCCCCATGGAGATAAGAGGAAATAAACAAGAACAAGAACTAGAAAGAAAATAGAAGAAAACCCAGAAGGGTGTGTATATATATGCTTGTACATGTATGTGTATTGTGACCTAAGTGTAAGTAGAAGTAGCAAGACATACCTGAAATCTTGCATGTTTATGAGACAGACAAAAAACACCAGCAATCCTACCATCATGTAAAACAATTACAGGCTTTCGTTTTACACTCACTTGGCAGGACAGTAGTACCTCCCTGGGCGGTTGCTGTCTACCAACCTACTACCTAGAAACATTTAAATATATACCAGAAATGTTATAAATGGTGAAAAGGTGACATTAAAACAATAAAGATGTCTAATACAAACCCACTACCATTAGAGTATGCTCCTCACTTAGCGACAAATTCGTTTACCAACGTGGTCTTAGGAACGGAACTCCATCGTTAAGTGAGGAGCGGCTGTACTCTGGAATATCAGCAAAAATAGAACATTTCTGCTACTTTGAGCTCAATTTCAAGCTATTTTCAGTCCTGAAAGTAATTAAAATCATATCTATTTCTGTAATATATCTTCCATTCTATCAAATGAGACCAAGAAACTGAAAATATAACCATAAAAACAATACAAAAATACACTGCGAAGTCGCTGTATTAAACCAAAATCACAGTTACAGTTTTTTTTTCTCGTTATACACTGCGTGCTGCAGGATTTTTTATATGGTGCTCACTACTGCATAAACCCATCTTCTCATATCTAGGCCCAAATTTACCACTCACAGCTTATCTGAGTGAGCTGAGCTCATGGCGTCATACTATGGGACCAGCACTGGATTCAAAGCCGTGATACAACGGGACCAACACTGAAAGGGTTAACAAGCACTTAATCTCCTTAACATAATTGAGACAGTAATGTGCTGTCAACGAAACCAGCTTGCATCCAATTCTGTCTCTGTTCTTCTTCCAGCCTTCCTTCAACTCCCATACATAACTGGTAATATATAAATATATCTTGTCCCATTTTAATTATATTGTAATACATGTATAAGGCTTTCTTTCTTTCAACACACCGGCCGTATCCCACTGAGGCAGGGTGGCCCAAAAGAAAAAATTAAAGTTTCTCCTTTTACATTTAGTAATATATACAGGAGAAGAGGTTACTAGCCCCTTGCTCCCAACATTTTAGTCGCCTCTCACAACACGCATGGCTTACGGAGGAAGAATTCTGTTCCACTTCCCCATGGAGGTAAGAGGAAATAAACAAGAACAAGAACTAGAAAGAAAATAGAAGAAAACCCAGAGGAGTGTGTGTGTATATATGCTTGTACATGTATGTGAAGTGTGACCTAAGTGTAAGTAGAAGTAGTAAGACGTACCTGAAATCTTGCATGTGTATGAGACAGAATAAAAAGACACCAGTAATCCTACCATCATGTAAAACAATTACTGGCTTCCGTTTTACACTCGCTTGGCAGGGCGGTAGTACCTCCCTGGGCGGTTGCTGTCTACCAACCTACTACCTAGCTGTAATATAAGTAACTTGCTGTATTTTCATCTCTATTCACTTACTCCACAAAACTGAAGATCAATGAATCAGTTCAAATATCTAATTCTTCAGTAACTGACAATTTGTTCATTAGCTACATTTCTTATTGTACTTATGATTATAGTTAACTGCATAAGAAGTCCTAGTTAATAGTCTATGTCTACTTCTTGAATAACATGAAAGCTTTATGATTAGATGCCCAAAATGCACTGCGTAATTAGTGGCTTTCTATGACGACCCTGTGACCACTTTCAATTTTGAAGTTTCCAACAGTGAAGGGGTTAACTAACTTTATCATTGCCATAAAGCACCTAAGTGTCACAGAAAATGGTTACACACTCACCTGCACTATCTAAAAAGTATCGTGTGTTGAAAGAGTTCCAGTGACGTTTGGTCTTCAAGCACGGAGAGTCAAAATCTTGGCTTATCATGTGTAGGTGTAACTGAGACATACTGGGAATTGCATGGTATCCATACCTGTTTGGAAATTCATTTTATATATTCATTTATTAATAAGCTGTATTGTATGTAATTCTGTGGGGTGTTTTATGTACAATAAACCACCCTAAGCTTTTAAGAAAAAATAATATAGTTTAGGGCAGTTCACACTGTTAAATGCAACTGCATGGTTCTCAATGCAAAAGTATTCAAATGCCCATAGGTAGACATCAATGGGTTTCAATATTTTGGAAATTTCCTAATGAAAGCATTTCCTCTTCTGAAGAAGATAACTATCCCAGAAGGATGTTCAGTGTATGCTTCATATGTGGTTCATGTACAGTCACTCGAGATGAAAAATGACAATAAGTGACCAGGAGATAATCCCCAAGAAGCTGAACTGACAAAGGGTGACAAATGTAAGCCAAGAATTGAGTAAAAGGCTTATTAACCCTTTACCAGGTAGGCATAACTTGTGTTCCTCCTAAAAGCATGTTAAATGTGGCATCATAGAAGCAAGCTATGGGAAGCTAGCTACTCCTACTTGATATCCAACCAACGGGAAGCCTTCTAGGAACTATGTCATCTACTGCATGGCCATCTGTTCTCCCATACCATTGGCTGGGTGAGCAACATGACAGTTTCTGAATTTGTTTCCAGTGCAAATTTAAATATTTGGGCAGTGTTTTCATATGCATATGAAGTACATGAGACATAAGTAACAATGCCATGTACAAGACCTTACAAATCACAAAAAAGGAGTAACTCAAGTGCTTACCACCAAGATAAAGAATATTGTCAAAGGCCCTGAATACTGGTAACATTGTATACATTGAAATTATTACAATTGTGGTTTTGTAATGCTAATACTGTGTTCACCTGTCTTTTCAGATGTAGCAGAATTTTTTTATGTATCAAAAGTCCACAGGAACAAGACTTTGCTGTCAGTGATCATGACTCTTGAGTGATGTAGATTCTTCAGATGAGGTGAAAATTTAAGAAGAATATGCACCTGAAGTATCATCACGCAAAGAACAACTTGAGGAATTATTATGGAATAAGCAGTTACAAAAAAAAAAAAAAAAAAAAAAAACATCAAACTGTGAGATGAGCACATGTGGATGAGGAACAGTTGTAAAACTAAATTGCCAACAACACTGAATGACATACAAATAAAAAAAGACATACAAATGACATACAAATAAAAAAATATCTTTTACCCATGTTCAAAAATGAGGCATCTTCATATATAGTGTCCATACAATTATTTGAGACATTTTTTACTCAAGACCTGATAGATCACATAGCATTTCAAATAATGAATAATAAAGTTTAAATATACATGCATGCCTTTTTTTTTTTTTTTTGGGTATTTTGAAATATTATATTGGGAAACTGTTGATACTTTTTGTAAGCAGTAGGCTCTCAATAACTCAAATTTTAGGATTTTTCCAGAAAACTACTGAAAATTTCCAAAAATTAAGTGAGAGTTATTCTTTAAGTCTATAATAATAGAATTTTGATTTAATGATCTTGACAAGTGCCCAGTAAAGGATTTAAAGAGGTCTGTTTTAACAAAGAATTGGGAGAGGAAGTAAGTTAATGAGGAATTGAAATGTGACAAAAGCAATAGGTGTTGTGAGAAGGCACAGGGAAAAATTGCATGACCCATTAGCAAGGATATATAGCAACTACATACTGTTTGGAAACAAAGCTGCAAATATTCAGCTAAACATATCGAAAAATGGTTCCCCCATTTCAAGATGCACTGATGGCAAATTTCTAGGGCTCAACATTGACTGCTGTCTTAAATTTCAGACCCCACATACAGCATATTTGCAAACAAATCTCCAAAACAGTAGACATCCTTTCTAGGATACAGTACTATGTATCCCAAATGGCACTTCTTGCTCTTTACCACTCTCTCATCTACCCTTACCTCACCTATGGTACATGTACATGGGGTTCAACCACAACAAATCACCTTAAACCTTTAATAATCCAACAAAAAGCTGCTGTGAGATCGATTAGAAACTCCTGCGTCAGGCAACACACGCCACTGCTATTTAAGAGCTTGAACCTGCTTAACATACAATATACTCACTTATATTATTGTGCCTAAAACATACACAGAACATTATTCTCCAATATTAACCATCCTCTCAAACTCCTTCTTTAGAACTACAACAGAATGCACTTGCATACCACAAGACACAAAACACTCTTTGATATCCCTCGTGTCTATCTCTCACTATGCAAAAATGCTATGCACATAAGGGCCCTAAAATTTGGAATTCATTACCTGAACATACAAAAGGGCCCCTGTCTGCACACCAATTCAAGGCTATGCTTAGAAATCACCTCATCTCCCAAAATTAACTACACAAACACTATATATTATCGCCACCAACAACTCAAAAATTCCTAAATGTCATAAGATTACTTAAAAATTAAAATGGTTTCAATCTCATTATGTAAAATGTGCCAAAATATAATACTGTAACCTGTTAATCAAGTCATCTCAATTATAAATTCAATTACTGCTAAACCACTACCTCTGTTGAAATATAAAAAAAAATGAAGTTCAGTTCAAACCAACTACAGTAATACCCTGGGTTTCGTCCTTAATCCGTTCCAGAACGTCAGCCAAAATCCGAAATGGATGAAAACCAAAGTAATATTTCCTATAAGAAATAATGTAAATCCAATTAATCCGTTCCAGTCACCCAAAAATATTAACAAAAAATACATTTTATAGAGAACAACTGTAGTTACACATACAAAAAACAATGCGAAATAAATATAAATGACTAATTTTAATAAGTGAACATTACATACCTTTATTGAAGACTCTTGTTGGCGTATTGAAGAAGGCGAGGAGGGGAGAGGGAGTTGAGGTTATTGTTTGTGTGACGGCCCCCTGCCAAACTAGCGGTTAAATTGTTAACCTGCCGGCCGGCAGTACCAAGGGTATGTCATCAAACCCAATGTGGGGACTGCTGAGCCGGCCTTAGAAGCAGTATTTACCAGAACACCTTACGGTATACATCTACTGGCAGTAGAGAGTATTCTTCTGACCAACTTATGGTATATCTACTGGCTTCTACTGGTTTTAGAAGCGCTCACCGCAGTTCACTGAGTCTGATGGCCGCATTCAGTGAACTTGCAACATAGTGTGTTCTGCAAGTAGTATTCACCAGACCACCTTACGGTGTATATCAACTGGTCTTAGAGGCATTTGACAGTACTCACCAGACCATCTTATGGTGTACTTCTACTGGCCTTAGAGAGCATTTACAAGACTAACAAGGAGTACAATTGTAGGTGATGCCTACGGACTCACCACCGACGCTAGTCAACTGTGGGCCAAGTCATGCTGACGCTGTAGTGTGACACTGTATGAAGAAAAGGTTGGAGTGTGACACTGAGAAAGGCTGGGATCATAGTGTAACACTGAAGGAAGTATGACGGAGTGTAACACTGAAATAAGATAATAGGATCGTAGTGGAACACTGAGAAGAAAGGGTGCCGTGTGACACTAAGAAGATAGGATTGTAGTGTACACTGAATGGTGTCATGTGACTGGCCTCTGAGAAGAAAGACGCTATGCGGGTGATAGTGTGTGACGCAGAGACAAGGGTGTCAAGTGTGACACAGTAGAGAAAGTGTGTATGACGCAGAGAAAAGGGTGTCGTGTGACACAGAGAGCAGGAGTGTCGTGTGACACAGAGAAAAGGGTGTCAAGTGACATGGTTGAGAAGGAGGGTCACAACACGGACAAGTGTCATGTGACACAGAGAGCGTCATAAGGGTGTCGTGAGACACAGGACGAATGCAGTTGATTATAATTTATTACTGTACAAAGATGTTACTTATAATTTATTATTTTAGGAAAGAGGAGTGATTGGTGGAATGATGAAGTAAAGGGTGTGATAAAAGAGAAAAAGGTAGCTTACGAGAAGTTTTTACAAAGCAGAAGTGTTATAAGAAGAGCAGAGTACAGTGGACCCCCGCATAATGATGGCATCACATAGCGATTTTTCCGCATACCGCTTACTTTTATCGCAAAATTTTTGCCGCGCATACCGATTAAAAACCCGCTCACCGATTTTCGTCCGAGACGCGTCCAATGTGCCCTCACATGTGCCGCCCGTCCCATTGTTTACCAGCCAGCCTCCGCGGTAACATCCAAGCATACACTCGGAATATTTCGTATTATTACAGTGTTTTCGGTGCTGTTTCTGGAAAATAAGTGACCATGGGCCCCAAGAAAGCTTCTAGTGCCAACCCTGTGGTAAAAAGGGTGAGAATTAGTATGGAAATTAAGAAAGATTTTGAAGGGTTTGGGGCTAACCCTGAGAAGCCTATGCCAGTTGTGGAATCCATTGTGCCTACTTCAAAGATTAAGGAAATGTGTGCACAGTGGGTTGAACTGCAAACCTTTATAGATGAAAATCACCCTGACACAGCTGTTGCAAGCCGTGCTGGTGACTATTTCAATGACAATGTTGTGGCCCATTTTAGACAAATCGTAAAGGAACGGGAGGTACAGAGCTCTATGGACAGATTTGTTGTGCGACAGAGGTCCAGTGACTCTCAAGCTGGTCCTAGTGGCATTAAAAGAAGAAGGGAAGTAACCCCGGAAAAGGACTTGCTACCTCAAGTCGTAATGGAAGGGGATTCCCCTTCTAAACAGTAAGAAGATAATGCTCTCCCCTCCTCCCATCCCATCAATCATCACCAGATCTTCAATAAAAGTAAGTGTCATGTAATTGTGCATGCCTTTTTCAGTTTGTGTGTATTAAAATTAACATTTCATGTGGTAAAAAAAATTTTTTTTCATACTTTTGGGCGTCTTGCACGGATTAATTTTATTTCCATTATTTCTTATGGGGAAAATTCATTCGCATAACGATTATTTCGCATAACAATTATCCCTCTTGCACGGATTAAAATTGTTAACCGGGGGTCCACTGTATATGGAGAGTAAGAGAAAGGTGAAGAGAGTGGTGAGAGAGTGCAAAAGGAGAGCAGATGAA